GCAAACGTCAATTTTCGTCGAACGTTCGAAGAAGCGACCGGCCAAACTAGCGAAAAAGTATGCGCGGGGGTTTACTCTGACGATTACTCGTTTCGATGATCAAACATCGTGACGCCTGGACGTTCCACGCGTTTCCGACATTAATCTCTATCACGGCGGGGCCATTTGTCAGTTGTCGAATTCACGGTGATCGTCTGCGGCGAATGTGAAAAGCGCAGCAATTACGCGACGAGCGTCGATTAATCAGGGAACGTTTATTGATAACTTTTAGCATCTTTTGTCGCTGAATGCGCGAAATTACGAAACGATGGGAAACGCGGCGAGGGGAGGAAGGGGAGGGGGGCAGGGAAGGGGGGAAATTGCGAAATTTCGAAAAATCATAATGAACCTCGTCGGACGCACGACGTCGCGGTGCACGCGCGTCCGGAAGTGAATAACCGTAATCACGTTTAATTGCTAATTTTCGTATGGGAACATCGACAAATTTACTCGTCCCGTTGTGATAAATTATGTTCTATTTACTATAGCTGCTTTGCAACGTCTAAACTTGACGTTGATCGACGCAATTATTATACTACGCAGAATTTTATAGCCGTCGCGTTACCGGATGTCGCGACTTGTTGTCCAAAGAATTCCGTTTGATTCGTTCCTCCGTGAGATCCCTGTCGTTGCACTCGAGTCAATGTGATAAAACCAAAAGTAACAGTTTGAAAATAATTGAAAGAAAATTTTTTTTTTCGATTTTAACGTTGAAGATCAAAAATTCTTAATTTAACCTTAATGATTGAAAAATAGAACCACAAAGAGTAAATGCAATTATCGGTTCAATATCGCTGATTGACGGAGGTTTGATATTTGACCTTCCCTTCTGAAATCCGACGTTGGTTTTCTCCAACGTTCGAGCCTCGCGCGTAGCCTGTAACGTAAACACAAATCATTGAACAGAAAAGTGACTGGTGCTCTTTTCAAAGTCAATGATTCGACGAACAATGTGTGGATTAAAACGCACGATTCGGATCGTTCACGAGCAGAATCGTCCAACCTGTCGACAGGAGGAGACTCGTTGATGGGTTCAGGGTCGGAAGACGAGGACGAAGACGGTAGTAGTCACCATCATCACGGTGGTGTCGGTGGCTCTCATTTGGGGCCTCATAATCTGGGTCCAGGTGGTCCTGGTGACCAGACGGTTGGTCACACTGGCGATCTACCTCTTGGAAGCGATCCTTGCAAGCAGGAGGACTCCGAGGATCAAGGTAAGGCCATTTCACACTGTTTCTACTCGTTCTAATGTTTTACGCGATTAATTCAGCAAGTCAGGCAAGGAGAAGATTCAAACACGTAAGAAGAAAGACGTAGATACCAGAGAGAATGATTATTACATGTCGCAGCGCGACAAACTCGATTTTGAAAGGACGATTGACTGGGACCGACTAACGACTTAATCGGGCGGCCAACGTGTTGTTGCCCTTCCGTGGAACCCTCGAACGAGGGAGGGAATTCAGTGGCTTGACCTGGAGCGTCAGTACGAATTACTAAGCGCGTCAGGTCTTCCCGGTCTATTATTCGGGTTCTGCTCTTTTATCGCGAGAGCGCAACAATGACCCCTCGCTTTTACCTCTCTCTGCACGGAGAGCACGGGTACAAGCAACCACTACGCCTCTACGTAAGAGGAAAAGAGGGGTGTCTTCGCGAAGGGTGGCCCCTGTAGTGCGGTGTGACACTGTCCAAACATTTTCTTTGTCCCGTGGTTAAGACCTCCCCGGGTATATGGTATAGATTATCGTGAAGAGTTGGGCTCGAAAGCTGCTGTGTGCGCGCGTGTGTATGATGCCGCGCGTACACGTTGCGCGTCGTTCCTGTATCCACGCACACGTACACCCGACACAGGGTGTAGCTTTCAAGCGTAGAGCAGCCACGATAATCCGATGGGGGTTTCGCATCGCTTCCGGGGGATTGGCTCCGATTGTTGTTACCTCGATCCAGCCGATCAAGATTCCGAGATATGTATATTATGCACGCGTGTGTAGATCGTCTGCGTGTACAGATCGTTAAGAAACCGTCTTCGCCGACGGGAGAAAGAAAATGTTGTATTGCTTTATTCTCGCGTACGCGAACGAGATCCACGGAAGGTGAAATATATTCAACAGTTCGACACTCGAGTCTTCTCTCTCTCTCTCTTGGCCTACCGGTCAAACTCACGAAACTGATCAACGAAGCTGAAATTACCCTGAACGATCGAGAGCCACTTGCTTCGCGAGAAACGAGTGTTTAACCCGTGGCGGTTGCATGGAGGCTCGATTATTAAACTGGTTTGTTTGCATTGGTCGAAGGTTCCCTGGACGGAGATCCCGAAACGAGGGATAGCCAAACGGAGAACAAAAGTCCAGACGGTGGTGCCGGTGGTGGTAGCGGCGACGGTGGTGCCGGCTCGAAGAGGCGAGGCCCGAGAACCACCATAAAGGCGAAACAGTTGGAGATTCTCAAGTCTGCCTTTTCGTCCACTCCGAAACCCACCAGGCATATCAGGGAACAATTAGCGAAAGAGACTGGCTTGCCCATGAGAGTGATACAGGTTCATATTCAAAATTTCATTCTTCCTCTATGCTTGTGTAAGTGACTGCAACGCAAAAAAGAACGACTTTCGTTTTTTTCTTTTTTTTTCTTCTTCTTCTTCTTCTTCTTTTTCTATGTACTACAAGATTCTTCCTTCTCCGTAAGCGTAAGACGGAATTCAAAGAAGCAATTGCTTTCGAAGATCAGTAAATTGAATGAAAAACAGTCGGCCGTGTCGGATGTTCGCAGGTCTGGTTTCAAAATAAGAGGAGCAAAGAGCGTAGGTTAAAACAACTGACGTCGATGGGCAGGAGCCCGTTCTTCGGCGGCTCCAGAAAAATGAGGGGCTTCCCCCTGAACCTGAATCCCGGTGCTTTGGGCGGCGAGGACGGACCGCCGCCCGGTTTTCCATATTTCGGCGCGGAGAAGTTCGAATTCGGTTACGGCGGGCCCGTGGCATTTCACCATGAATTCTTTGGTGCTCATCCGCCCCCTCATCCACATGGACCGCCCTTTAGCGGACCAGGCAATCCTGGTGAGTCTTGGCATTCGATTCCTTTACGAGAATTCCTCTCGATCCCTCTCGATTCCTTCCCGAAAAAGGCAGAAAGAAGAAAGGAAGCAAAGAGCGGATGATCATTCGCGCGGGTAACGTAACGCGAACGCTGGAGGGGAAACAATTCGAAACAATCGCTACGCGAATTGAGCGATGTCTAACGTAACTGCGTAGACACGTCCAGGTTCTACACTTTGCACGATCTGTACATATCCGCGTTCCCGGAATCGAAAGCAGAACCTTGTCTCGAGTTCTATCGTGACTATAATAAACATCGTGGCGGGTAGGTAGGTCGCGATAATTATGACAGCCGGGTTCGGAGATAGCAGGCCGGATACGATCCTCTCTGAATAGTACACGTAATCTGTTTCTGACAGGTTTGGACCCGGCGAGTTTAGCGGGTATGGCGGCCGCAGTGGCGGTGACAGGGGAATATCCACCTCCGGGTGCGGGAGGTGGCCCTCCGGAATTTCTCACGGGCCCTCCTGGACAGGGGCCCCCTGCACCTTCTAGCGGTAGTCCTGGAGAGTTCCTAGCACCTTCAGGTACGACCAGATTCTTTTAAAACGGCTACGCCCCTCTGACCACTAGAATAATTAATTCTCGAGTCCTGCTCTACCTTCGTCAGAGTCATTTTCTGTTCCGTTGATTATGTCATATGTACGAAAGTAGTCGCTCATATACACACACATATATATGTATATATATATATATAT